GCAGTGATCTGCAGTCCGTGCGGTCAACAAATCAACGATACAAAACTTTTCATCGCATGAAGTGCTCCTAACATAATACTGGACCAACTGAGCACTTCTGAACGATTCACTGGGGAGTTAGGTTTTCACGCAAACCCACAACAATTAAAGTTTTGTATCACTTGCTCGGTTTTCTTCGAACTGACATTGACTTTATGTGGAATGGCCACTCAAACCAAAAACACTTCCCCAGTGAGCAATTTCTTAATGTGATACAGTAATGATTGATCTATAGGCAACTATCGATGAATTTTTGAGCGAGAACGGTTTAATCCGTTAGAAAACGAGGGGGCCATGTCTGGCAAACACTGATAAAATCTTTCGACCTCCGGAATCAGACTATTCTCAAAAATGAATTTAGACAAAGGAGTACTGTTAAAACGTACCACGCCAGTCGTCTGGTTTACTCCGTTCATATGAATTTTCGTGGTGAATCGGACACTAGGAGGCTCTTTCGGGTAATTCGGCCCACATTCCACGTGCAGATTATAGATCCGCGACTCATACGGAGTCTGAAAAAATTTGAAAAATCGGTGGCGAAATGATTGAATGAAAGTAAAAAATGGAAGTGAAACCACAGCGCACCCTCGGAGGTCCGATAATGGTTCCTGTCCATCTCGTAAGTGTCATATCAGTGTCATCTTCAAGGCCCCATGAAATGTTCCCATCACCCTTTCCTTTTTGGCCGTCTTCCAATTCTTCGAGGAGACGAAAGTTTCTTGGTACATCCACTAAACATTGGCATGAAAATAACTTTACGTGCGTTATATATTGGCAAAATAGATGTATTATCCTGAAAGAGAAAAGACTTGATCGAATATTCTCCACTCACCCATTATCAGATATGCAACTAACGCGATCCAAGCCCTGAAAAGTTATATTAGGTACGGAAGCAGACAGCCTTGCACGTCTAAGGATGCAATCTATACTTCAAGGCGTAAGACAGCAGTGCTAGAATTACTCGACTATAATGCCTAAAACTAAAAAAGCTCAAGATGATTGATTCCCAAGCGGCTCCAATTCTCTCGTGTGCGGGGGCGAGACGCAGGCTCAGGTGGTCGCATTGGAGCGCTGAAACCGAAGCTCCATTCAATGTTTTACTACTAAATCTTTGGCATTGAACCATATCTTTCATACCTAACTTCTACGCTCTCACTATTTAACGCACACAGCGTTTGCTTCAAATGCAATCATGGATATAGAAACAGGGCCCCGCACAGATCGTATGGAACTAGGCTGGACTTCGTTTTTGGAACGAAAAAGCAAAGGGGATATCGTTTTTGTGGCCAAAAATT